GCAATTAAAATAATATAAATTCTAAAATCCTGCTAAATGTCATATGAATTGGTTGAATGATCATTTTAGAATATTCAGGACTTTGATTCGTTAAATGATCATTTTAAAAGATTCAAAATCCTTAATATGGATTGAAATAACTGCTACTATAACACTGAGATAATTAGCCAAAGATGAAAAAGAGAAACCAATCCCCAACGGAGTAGCCCAAATATGTGGTCTCCAAATATTTGACCACGTCCTCCACGTGCTTGCTGCTTTTTTGTTTCAAGGGGGTTTTAATAGAATTAAGTTTCGGGGTAAATTTTAGAAGGCATATAAGTTTATAGATAAGACACCACTTAGAGATTTCGGCCTCATTTTGTGAGGACTTTATGATATGAGTTCTGGTTTCCTATAGGCGCAAGCCACTACAGTTAATTACCCCTCTCAGTCATGAGAGAGAACTTTTGATTAAGGCTAGTCATTAATCAGGTACGTGTAGAGTACATGTTAACTGGCATATAGCAGCAACATAGATATTTGGAATAATTGGAGAATTGGAGAATTTGGAGAATAGGAAGATTTGAAGATTTGATATTTAAAATTAGAAATTACATCAACCTGCACTTAAAGTGGATGGTGGGGAATGAATGATAAACTTGATCAAGATTCCATGGTTCCATCATCTCGGGTCATCATGTTCCTGGTCTACTTAGTAAGAGGATGTAGTCGACCTAACCTGACAAAAGGATCCTTGTCGGTAGCCATGGGTTGCTTCGTCCAAGGGTATCTTATAGACCTGGAGTGGGTATTTGCTTAAAGGGATAAATTTGAATCCACCTTAGCTAATAGAGGGCTTTATGCCCTATCGATCTTATCCTATTGATTCATGTCACAAGGATTTGATGCCAATAAGGAACATATTGACTTAGGCCATAACCGGTATTTCGTGATGCCATTTGGTAGCAAAAAAACTCGGTTTGAAGGCCCCAGATCATAACCGTTTATCCTATAGTGCCATTTGACGGCAAAACCATCGGTTAGAGGACATCTACCATATCTTTACTAGTATGAGATTGTTTGAGAATGGATCCTAATGAAAATAGCCTATGTGAGCTGAAATAAATTTTAATTTTTCCACCTCGACAAACTGTTACGGAATGTTTATGGATTTTACATTAAGTATTTGATGAGTTGAATTTTGATTTTAAATATTCTGGATTTGGATTTTCTTTTATGTGGTATTTGAAATATTTGAAATTAATCCCTCCAAATTAGATAAGTATTCAACACACCATCATTGGGGTATTTTGGGTCATTTCTATTTATTCATTGAACTCTGTCGACCCTATCAACATGCCGATAGGGGATCAAGTTTCATATGCTTTGTGCCTTTATTAGTGAATTCATATTGTTATAGGCCTTGAAGGACTAATATAATTGTATTAAAATAAATATATTGGTTGTCACAATTGTATATTTGTTTGATGCTTCGAAGCCTATCAACTCCTATTGATTCATAAAGAAGGATTATGTTCGAACTTGAATTCACTTATTAACTCGTGAAGCATCCCTAGATGTCACTTATGTACCCATAACAAGCTCGTCATGGCTCATGCGGGTATTATGATTGCATTTACCCATTGTGTACCTATGTGTATATAAACTATGGTGTCAAGAAGAGGTATTTTGAAATTTTTATAAATGCCTTCTGTCCGCTTGCAAGGACGTTGCAGATCCGGTGGCATTTTGTATTAGCTTCTTATTAGAATTATTAGCTACTTTATACAGGTAAATTGTTGTGCACTACCTGTAAGATTACACAGGTAGATTATAGTGCACTAACTAATATCCCGCTTTTGTCCATGGATGCTGACAACAATTAGATGTCTTTTGCTTTTGCTCGTAGATGGAACTGTGCATACATGAAATACTTCCTACGACGGCTCATAAGAATTTGGATTTATCATAACCTTTCAATATTTATCTGGTTGTACAGATATTTGCTTCTTTGAAAATAATAATTTGATATGGGTTTTCTCTTCATGGGGTTTGTTCATACTGTCTAGAAGAGCTATATGAAGCTTCCATTCCCAAAGTAATTATTGCAATTCTTAGGAAGGTTGGAATAGCAAGAATATCTTTCATTTGTAATTGTGAGTTTAAACCATCACACATTTTCTAAATGTTGATCATTAATACTAGTTAGTACAATATATTATGTGTTGAGCTTCATTTGAATACATCTGAACATATCACATCATTATTTCCATTGCATATCAAACCTTCCTGGATTCAATTGACATTGAATTCTTCTATTTGTAAGAAATTGATACGTCTCTTCTTGGGGTCAAATCATTATCGGCCATAACCAGATGGTACTAATCGTATGCGAGTTGTATCATCACCTAGGATATCATTTTAAAATCCTCGGCGCATAAGCAGAACAAGCTGAGGATTCTTAGTTCTTTGAGTAGCTCTGTGAATACATCGATTATACTCTTCTCATTTCCTTTTTAGGTTAAGCACAATGTAATATAGCTTTGACGTCAATGGAAATTTTGAAAGCTTCTCAACTAATCCTTTAGCAATGAGTCCTAATTTGGCACAATGAAGATTATAATTCTATGTATTGCAAAGACATGATTGTTAAGGAGCCGCCAATGCCCGCAACTTTCTAGTTTCTCTAATGTTAGTATTATTTTCTTCTTGTAGCGGTAGACAAGTGAAATTACCATGATATTACTACTAATGAGATGGGCAATTATCATTGGCTCTTGTACAGTTCAATGTAAACATATGCTCGTACTCGTTGCAATTATCCCAAGTAACATGATTGTATGAACTTTTACTGTCACTTTCGAGTGAAGGTATTCGTAAGCTTTTCATTTAACACAAATTTTGCATACACTTCCTTTGCTCATTATTTCATTTTGAGCATAATATCAAATTCCTTCATGCTTGATTCCAACTTCATGTTGTCATGAGATTGGTTCTATATAGTTTGTTCATTCAAGTTCAAATCTCTTATAATTCATTTGAATTCCTTGAGCCATAGTTTGACTTTAATTCTTATGGATCATTCAATTCAAATTAAGCAAGTTCATTATCAAAACCCATTTGATATTGTGTGGTTCAAGTTCAATGTCTAAGCATGGTCCCGTTCAATTGAATTTGAGTCCAAATTGTCCATGTCATATCAAGTTTAAGTTTAAGTTCAAGTGCTTTTAGTTCAAATCCTTGTCCAAGCTTGAGTCCAAGCCTTGTTGTCCAAATCAAGTCATTGTTTGAGTTCAAGTAGCAAGCTCATGTTTTATGACCACAAGTTTGAGTTCAATTCTAGTTCACCTTGTTTAATGTTCAAATTAAGTTTTATTATTGCTCATTCTAGTTGTATTCAAATTTGAGTTAAGTTCATTTGAGGTTCATATCAATCCAAATCCAAGCTTACAGGTCTCCCATTGTCCTTTTCAGTTAAAACAAATCCAAGTACAGCGTCGTGTTCACCCGAAATTTTATCAATCTCCAGGTGTCTCCCCCATTTAGGGGAAACTACGAGAAACTTGGCCTACCCACCACGCGCAATAAATGTGCATATGGTAGGTGACCTTAGACACTGGGGCCATGATCTTCATTCCTAGTACGCCCAATAAAGATGTGTATGGGCTCTTCGAGGGTACTTGTTTAAAAAGACAATTTGCTTTCTTCCCGCTCGAGGGTACTTATAAGTGACCCTGCCTTATCATAGGTGCTGCACTGGGGTCCCATCCCACCACGCACAATAAAGGCGTGTATAGACGATTTTTTGGTGCACCACGAACACCGAAATGGGGCTTTAAGGTGAATACCCGCCTCGTCGTAGGCATCACATCGAGGTCCCATCCCACCACGTGAAATAGAGAAGTGTTTAGACGATTTTTTGGTACGCTGCGAACTTCAAAGGCGAGGATCTAAGATTCAGAGAATTCATGCCTTTGCGAGCTTCGGTGGTGTTGGCTCGTGGATTGAGGCAAGAGGAATTAATTAAAATAATTAATTATATTTTATTCTCATTAATTATAACTAATTAATATTAATTAATCTTAAACAAATTAATTAAGTATAATTCATTGTAATTAGTTAAAAAAATAATTAATTAAGATTAACTTTAATTAAAATTAATTAATTTAATTTAATTAAAATTAACTATAATTATTATATATAACTATAATTAAAATTAATATTAATTAAAATTACTTAAAACCTCCTCTCTCTCCCCACTTTCTATAGGTCGGTGGCTTTACTGGATTTGGCCGAAGTAGCGCATGCAAGAGAGAAAATTACCTTCACTCCCGTTCTTGCTTCCAATCAAAATGTCGGAACTTCCGAATCGAACAGGGAGGGAACGTTGTCGATGGAGTGAAGTTGTCCTTTAGGTAGGTCGTCTCTCCCCTTCTCTCTCTCTCTGGACCGAAGGAAGCAAGGAAATCGAGATGGAGGGAGCCCTCGTGTGGGTAGCGAATGAGAGAGAGGTAGAGAACGGGGAAGCGACGGCTTCACTTGGTCGGCTTTTAAAGACTTAGAAGAGAAGCAATCGAGGCCGGTTCTGCGCACAAATCACGGGATGCGACTTAAACGCGCCTAATCGGCTCGATTTCAGCAAGATTCGCAGAACCGACGGACAATGTAAGATTTTGAGTTTTTTTTTTTTACTATTTTTTGTTTGCACTAATGGATCAAATTTCAGTATTAGTGTTGTAGATTTGAACAAATACCCTAATTCATGGTGTTAATAAAAATATATATGGTAAGGGATGTGGCAAAAGAAAAATCTTTAAAAGTAAAATTCGTTTCTTAAACCAAATAACATATTATACCAGTTTGGTTGGGAAGACATCAGATGAAATAACTAAGCAAGCACAGATAATTCCAATCATTAAAATTCGCATCAACATAATTGTTGAATTTGGCACATCTACTAATTTTCTTAACTTGACTTAAAAAGGCCATATGATGAAGTTCTTGAAAGAATAGCGCATCAGAATGATAAATTATATAAACTCTTGAAGTGCAAAATTAAAATGAAGATTAAGTTAGGTTCTGCACATCAAAAAGGCTTCCTTTGAGGAATCCGTTGCTTTCTTTAATTTTCTATGGAAATTATATTTAGGGAAGCAATTAAGATGAAGCTCTACCAAATTAAAAACTTCCTGGATGTCATACATAAATACTAATATTAAGCAGCAAGCAAACTTCAAATAGTAATTCGAGCTCTTTCCTTAAAGTTTCGACCACAGCTTTGTCTGCAGCAGGCAAAGGTTAGAGCCATTGCTTCCCTGGTTTTAGTCTGCAATGTACACAAAAATACAATACTAAAGCATGCAATTCTGCTAATACCATATAATCTATAAAAAAGAAAAAATATAAAATATAATTCATATAATATTAGGTTTAATGGTCTTTTTTATTTGTAGCCTTTATTTTATAATTCTTAAACACTATGAATAAAAAGAATACATGAGCTAGAATAAAATTAAAAAGAAAATTAAGTGTATAAAAAAAGAGGAGCTGACCAGAAAGAATACAACTTCTGGATAATGACATACAGGACATTCGACACCCCATGCGCGGGGAAGTGTTCGATTTGCATAAGCATCTTGCAGGACCTGAGGCTGCTCGTACATAGAAAGGTGTATTGTCTCCTGCAATATATCAACTTATTTTATAGTAATTGACCACAAAAATTTGAGTATGCTTGCCAATCACATTCCTTATGACATTTTTGCAACAAAAGGCTTAAAAGTTTTTATATTTTATTTGAAACATCTTAAATGCACTTTTTCATTAACAAAAATACAATTTAGTTTATTTCCTAAATTTTTAGAAGTTATTGACAAGATCTTCCATTTGAACTGCATTTATTTTATATTTGTTCTATAAAACTTATTATCGCTGATTTCACAAATATGTTTGTTGACCAGTTTTTCTCCCAGACCTAGGTCAGAGAGTTAACCTGGTCAAATTTGACCAGGCTAGACCACAGGACCCATCCCAGTGGGTTCAGGGAGTCAAGCCAAGTCTGTTGAGCCTAGACCCAGGTCCTGTGTCAACCTGGTTGACCAGGTCAACAAGCGTTGACCCAAATTAACCCTGATTCCCTGCTACTTGATTTTAAATCAAATTTAGAGCTCCTCGAGCTCAATTCTCCCATCCACTGGACTCAGAGGGTCAGACCAACTTTGTTGAGCTCAGACCTGAGTCCTGGGTTAACCTGGTTCACCAGGTCAAACCAGGTTGACCCAATTGACTCTAATGGGTCTATTGAGGTCCAAATCAATTTTAAATCAAATATAATTCCCCTTGGACTCAATTCTTCCACTCCTTTGATCCATTTGATTAGGATGACCAAGTCAATCTTTGACTTGGTCAATCCAAGTCTTAATGGGTCATTTTGACCCATTTAGACCCTCTTGAGTCCAAATCAAATTCAAACCAATTCAAGACCATCCTTAGCTCAAACCCCTATCATCCTCTGACCTAATGGGCTAAGTTGACCAAGTCAAGCCTTGACTTAGTCAACCTAGGTCTCATGAGGTCAATTTGAACTATTTAAGGCAAATTCAAACCCATTTAATGCACTTCAATTCCTCCTCAATGGGTTTGAATTCTAACCATGGCCAAATTACACTGATTTCCCTCCCAATTGACCAAGAATTTGACCTGGGCCGTTGGTTTCAACTCTAGACATATAAATATGTGTTTTGAGGGTTTAATTAAGGATCTTTTCTTGCTCTTTCTCTCTATAGACCTCCTTAGGCTCTAAGATTTCGTGAGAGCATCCCTACTACCTCCCTCTACCTTTTCCAATCAAATACCAATGTCCAAAGCTTGCCGGCGGCGATCTTCTGGCAAGAGGAAGCTTAGATCTGTCCAAGGACCGATCCAACCAATTTGTAGCCCATTTGATCGAGGATTCAAGAGGGAAAATATACGAGGATAATCTACAAGCTCAATCGTATTAAGATCTTGGAGATCCCACGGTGAAAACTCTTTGAAACCCTTAGAATAGTCCACAACACTTTGCGTTAAATAGCTTTTTAAAAAGCTGTTTTAAAACCAAACGAAGGCCTCCCATGATTTTTGTTCACTTTTATAACTTGTGTTTAAAATTTTTTTGAATTTAATTTTGTGGATTGAGAGAACGAGTTGAATTATCCTTTAGGGTTTTGGTCTGCCGTGCGATCATGCTATCGGTGATCCGGACCATTGATCCGTCGATCAACAGTCAGGATCTGGCTTTACAGCGCGTCCATCCGATCGCAGAAGTCTTATGTCTAATCAAGTCCCCGTGCGGCTCCATCTTTGTCGTTGATTTCATATGGAGCCGATCTAATGGCTTAGATCCCGCGCTGAAATGGTTAAGTCGCGCGGGATCATTACTCTGTTGCCGACAATCATTAGCAATGATTGCGCGGCGCGCGGCGCAATCATTGCTAATGATTGCCCCGCGGTTATGGGAGCAAACCAGTGAGTGCCATGTGTCCGGCCACCGTTATTTTAATTAAAATACGTTTTAAATACATTTCAATGCTTTTAAAAAAAATTGAAACTTAAAAAAAATAATAGAAAATTCTTTTGTATTTAAAAATTACGTATAATATATCAAATTGTTCTTATTTGAATTCTCTACAATTTAAAATTATTTTAACTTAAAAATATTTAATATATCTTATATTATTTAAAAAATAGTAAAATGAATATTTTATTATTATTATTATTATTATTATTATTATTATTATTATTATTATTATTATTATTATTATTATATCCATTATTATTATTATTATTATTATTATTATTATTATTATTATTATTATTATTATTATTATTATTATTATTATTATTATTATTATTATTATTATTATTATTATTATTATTATTATTATTATTATTATTATTATTATTATTATTATTATTATTATTATTATTATTATTATTATTATTATTATTATTATTATTATTATTATTATTATTATTATTATTATTATTATTATTATTATTATTATTATTATTATTATTATTATTATTATTATTATTATTATTATTATTATTATTATTATTATTATTATTATTATTATTATTATTATTATTATTATTATTATTATTATTATTATTATTATTATTATTATTATTATTATTATTATTATTATTATTATTATTATTATTATTATTATTATTATTATTATTATTATTATATATATATATATATATATAATGAATTAATTTATTTTTATTTACACTATTTTCTAAAATCTATATATTTATAATTATTTTAAATTACTTTAAAATTACTTATATTTTAAATCCTAATTTTGGGAGATCCACTATTTGTGAAATTTTAAACATAGAATGTGCATGTGAATAGCAATCATGAGGGAGTGGATTAGTGAATGGTTGACTCCTAATCATTCACTAATTATTTTGTTAAGTGCATTTACTTTTCTTTTATTGTATTTTGCAAGTGTAGGATGCACGGGCACTTAGTTTAGTCTCTCCTAGATCTAAGAAAATTGTTTATTTACTACTTTTGTGTTTTCCATGAATTTTTACCTTGAGGGTTAGTTCAAAACTCCATTTAAACCCACTCAACGTTGCGACATCCTAAATACAATAAATAAGGACCCGTCTAGCAAACTTAGAAAAATTCTAGGGACTAAGATAGATTACTGATTGATATGAAAATTTCAATATTTAAACTTAGTGATATCTTGAATATCCTAGAATTTTTTAGGAATTTTTAGAACTCTTTTAACCCCTTAATTAACAAACCCTAATTTACCCGTTAAATTGGGCCCTATACCTTCTAAAAGTTTTAATAAATCCATTTTAACTCAAAAAATTATCCATAATAGCTTGAATTATTCATAATTCAATGCTTAACCTCTGATAAATAAGACACCTTAGGTTGACCTCAATCTGACCCTTAATTTCAACTTTAATCAAAATGACCATTTTGCCCCTATTAGATAATTAAAAATTATTAAAACTTTCAAATTTTCCCCAAACATTTGGGAACACCTTCATAGGTCATTCCTGACCTTTGGGGGTGATTCCAATTAGTTTGGAGCAGATTTGGATCAAAACCATAAAATCACCCATAATTAGGCAGTTTTAATAATTCTCATAATTGCCCAAAACTTGGAAAATTCATAACTTTGCATAAGAAACTCCAAATCCATCAAACTCAAATCCTAACTATTAGATAATTATCAATAGCCTAAGCATTAAAAATGGATAAACAAACTAAATTGTCTAAAATGGACCCTAATTCTTTTTTTTTGAAGAAATTGCAAGAGTTGCAATAAATTCATTACCAATTACTTACAAGAAGATTCCTCCTTTAATAAATCTAAAATCGAAGGAGGAACATTATTCGTAGAGAAATCATCCCAAAAGAAGGATGAACAATGGGCATAGTTAGCACAAAGATGAGCTAACTTATTACAATTTCTTTTAGCCAAAGAAAAAATAAAATGTTTAAAATTCATAAGAAAATCTAAATCCTTAGGCTTTAGAAATTCTTCATCAATCAAAGGATTTTTTAAGGCATTTTGAAAAACCTTAATAACATTAGAGTTGTCTCCCTCAATGATTAAACCTTCAACTTCAAGCATCCAATCCTGAATATAATTCCTGATAACAAGGATAGCTAATAACTCCATTTGTGCACTATCCCAATGTTTATATTGAATCCCAAAAGCAGCTATTCCTCGGCCTTTGTAATCTTTGAAAATTCCTCCAATACCTGTACTATTGTTTTTAAGAACTGAGGCATCTACATTTATCTTGATCCAACCCGGGGGAGGAGGATGCCAAGAAGATTTGGACAGCTTGAACAGCTGATTAGCATCCCAGTTTTCCCGAATTAAGAAGGAATCAAATGAAGACACCGATTAAATAATTGATCTAGAAGCAATAGTAGCACAGCTTTCATCTTTACCTCCATGAACAATTTTTTTTCTGCTATTCCAGCAATAGAAAATTACAGAGCATATAAGATTACCCAAGAACGGATTACAAGAAGCCAAATTATTCAAAATCTGATAGCAGCTCTCTAAGGAATTGAAATCTGGTATATAAAACTGCCATCTAGCCAGCAAATTGAACACCTTTTTGATAAAAACAAATTTAGAAGATATATGTTCTGTATCCTCCATTTCAAGGCAACCTTTAGGACATCCTCCATGATCCGCAAGTCTTCTATATAAGAGATAAGCAAATGTTAGAATACCATTCTTGCTTAATCTCCACCAAAAGAAATCTATTTTTGGTTTCAGTTTTAGAGCCTTTCTCCATTTATAATCTGCATCTATATCAAAGTTTTCAAATTATTTTTCATAAACTGATGTAGCAATCGATTTACCTGATAGCTTTTTAATACATTCCATTTTATCTTCAGTTTGTTCTGGTTGGATGGGAATAGAATTGATCAATTCTATTAAACTTTCTCCAAAGCAAACTTTTAATTTCATCATATCCCATTTCCCGTCTATAATGAAGTTTGAAATTTTGCTGAAATTAGGAGCAATAACAGTAACAAAAGTCGGCCTCTTATCCAAGGTCTTATCTAGAATCCAGCAGTCTTTAAAAGTGTCAATGCAATCTCCATTTGATATTGTCCATCTCATAACAGGTAACAAAA